AGGCCACTTGTAGACTAAAACTCTGGATTTCATTCTCAGCATCACTCTTAACCTTCTGAGTAAACCCTAGGAATCTGACTACCGTGGCAACTGAAGTTGTAGTTCTGTCAGTCATCAAAGAAGTGTGAACCTAGAGTATGTTGGGAGAAGTGTTAACATCCATTAGAGAGACCTCTTTCATAACTTATTTTACCTAGAATGCCCGCCTCTAAGCATCCTCTTGAAACAAGTATATTCCCCCAAGAGGAGAAAATGGTTTGTTTTCTTTAGTGACAGCTAATTGGCCAAGGACCCTGAGGTAAAGAGAGCTTGGGCATTTGACAGAATTTGCTTTTTGATAGCTGACTGGGAGAATTGGAAAGTTTTGTATCATAGGGTGTTTCTTAAGAGGGCAAATCAGTGGTGGTCTTGAGCCAGCCTGACTATTTGTAAAGCTTCTCACAGAAGAAATGCCCAAAGAATTAAAAACAATACAATTAAAAAGGAAAGGTGAGCTGATGACCAGGTATGGCCTATACTATTAATAGACAAGGAAAGAATTCAAATAAAAGTTTTGTAATCTAGCTCTTGTCCTGTTTTCTGCTTCCCTCCAAAGCAAAACTCCCCCATAGATTTATGTTTATTGGCTGTCTCCCCTTCCTTGCCTCTCATTCTTCCCTGAATCCATCGTTCCAGCTAGGTCTGTATCCTCGCCAGACTACTGAAATGACTCTTAAAAAGGCCACCAAGGACCTCTGCCATATCAAATTCAATGACCATTCCTACTTTTACCTTACTCATTTTCTCAGCAGTGTTGGATATAATTGACAGCTTCTGCCTTCCTGAAACACTTATCTGAACTCCAGTGTTTGGTGTGATACCCTTCAGATTTTCCATTTCCTCACTGGCCAGTCCCTCTGTTTCCGTTGCTAGCTTCTCTTCTAAATGTTGTAATAGCTCAGATTCAAGAATGTTCCCTATCTTTGTTTACTCTCTAGGTAAGCTCATTAAAATCCAAGGCTTAAATAGTATATATACACTGATGACTTGCTCATTTTAATCTTTATTGCCCTTAAGCTTCAGACTGAAATGCCATTTACATTTTAACAGAATCTTCCACCTAGTTCAGGTCACAAACTAGATATCACCTTGATAGCTCTCTCTCCCTCAGCCCCTACATGCAGCCTGTCAGCAAGTTTTGCTGACTCTATCTACAAAATAGATATTGAATATCACCATTTCTATCTGTTGCTACCACCCTAGTCCAGTCTGCCATTCTCTCTTACTTAGCCTCCCTGTCCTTCCCATAGTAGCCAGTGTTCTCTTTCTAAAACAGATTTGGTCACACCACTACCCTGTTTAAAACTCTCCAGTGGCTCCTCATTGCACTAACAATCAAAGCCAAATACCTTAACAAGGCTGGCAAGACCCAGTCTCTGCCATCTCCCTAATTTCGTCTTTTTGCTAACTTGTACCAGGAACATCATTACAGACATCTCTCTTTTTACCCCCTCAACTTGCCAAACTTTTTCACACTTGAGGCTTTTGCAATAGGTGTATGGTATGTATGTCACTCCTCAGACAGGCCATGTCTGACTCTGCTCCATCAATATCCTATTACCATGTTTTATTTTCTTCTGAGCACTTATTGTCTTAATGTATTAGATTTGTTTGTCCACATATTATCTTTCTCCATTGAAATACAAATTCATTAAAGCAGGAATTGTTTTCAACAGTAGCTCCAGAACCTATACAAATGTCTGGTATAAAATAAAGTTCAATAAATATCTGTTAAATTAACGTATAATGATGCCAAGGTGGTTTTAGCTGTTACCTAACTTCAATATCAATAACCCTCTGTCACTCGACTATCCCTGTACCTTTAGACTAGCCCCTTATCCACTGAACTACAACTAACACATGTGTAAAATGATACTGTTTACACCTCATAGGGTAGGTATTAATTGAGGATTAAATGAAGTGCCTGACAACACAGTAAACATTTGAAGGGGTAGCTAATTTTCTCTTATACTTTTTCATGTTTAATGTATGCATTATCATTACAAAGGGTCCAGAGGGGTTTTTTGTTTTGTTTTGTTTTTTAAATCTGGAAAAGTTCATTTAGGTTTTTCTGTAGCTAGAAGAATGTTTAGGTCAAGACTCATGGGTAACTTATATTTTCATCTAAATTACCTTCCTTTTCATTTTTCAATAAAGATTTTTCCTCTTCCTTGAATGTCATTTTTCACAAAGAAACAGTGTCCTGTCCTTTCATTAAAGTCACTATAATGTGAACTTGAAGAGAGGTGGATGAAATTGTGATGCTGATACTGAGTGGGCATCTTGGCTCACTGGAAGCCAAGATCCTTCTGCACACAAAGTTCAGATCTGTGCCTCAGAAAAATGATTGTTCACTAACACATTGCTACAGCTGTTCTAAAGAGGTCACAAATAGAGCCAGACTCTCGTACTGACTAAAAAGGACTGTTGCCAGGGGTTCTTCAAGTACCAAGATAAGCAGTCATCTTTTCTGAGCTTTAGATTAATTAGCTATGAAAAATACACATTGTCTCCTCATAGCACTACTTGTATGTGTCTGCACAACACTTACTATAGGAGAAAGAGAAGAAATCGCTGGCATTAGTCTCATTATAATTTCTTTTCACTTTTTTTTTTTTTTTTTACTTTTCCTGCATGCTCACTTTTGACACCACCCACTGCACTTTGCCACACTGTGTCCTTGTATTTTTGGTTGAATGAACAAAAGCATTCTAAAAGCTGTCTTTGTAGTCTCCTCCATACAAAGTGAACTATTTATTAAATAAGCTTACCTACAGAGTATATTCAGACAGCTCTACAGCAGATCTCCACAGTTTCTTAATCATTAAGCAGAATAAGTGTATCTAAAAACCTCTTACACTTAATACCAGTTACTAAGTATTGTTACTGCCTGGAAAGTACAAAACACTCTTTCAAGTAGTGCCCTCAATTATGGTTAACACAAGACATGTGAATCTTTTCTATAATGTTTACTTTTCATCCAAAGAGCTTTTCCTCTACAGGAGACATTTCTTACTTTTGTCATGGCTTTATAACACTTCAACAGTAGATGGTGCCACACATGCATGGAAGATCAACAGAACTGTCACAGCTTTATTTTGTGACTCATTACAACATAGAAATATGCTTTTCTTAATACTTCATATAAAGTTATTGACAATACAAATATTTTTTTCTTTTTTTCCTTTTAATGAAAACAATTTAACTTAGAAATCTATTGTGAAACTTTTGTCTAGTTTTGCAATTCTCAGATATTCCAGTGCAAAAATAGATACCATTACAGACAGTGTAAAGTGCTTGGAATGAAGGGCCAATGTTGAAGAAAAAGCACAAAAACAGTTTCATCCTAGGGTATAAGAAGGAATAATAGCATACTTGATTCTTATGGAAATAGAAACATTCTATAAAAAGGGATGCAAAAATTTTGAAAAGAATTAGAGCAGTATTACTGAGTATTACACTATCACTAGATAGTAACAAGAGTACACATTAATACCTCAATATCAAAGTGGTTCAGTATTATATGACACATGGCTCTTTGGAAAAAATTTTACCTGATATATACAACCACAAGAAGAAAACAGACAAATCCCTTTAGTCAATGATTACTATACAGTGAATGGATGATGTGCCACATTTAATAGTCACAAAGCATATGCTCCTCAGCACAGATAATGAAATACAGTAGTTTGAGGTTTAGTTGCTTTTTAACAATGAATTGTGCTGGGTATTTCTTTATAGAAGGCTGTTATTTTCTATTTTTTCATATTCACAGTTGCTAATAAATTTTCCAAGGTGTCCAAAAGATGCAAAAGCAGAAATCTTTGAACACTTTTGAGAATTTTTGGAACTCACATAGTTACATTTCCACAGAGAATATATAGAAATTTTACTTGAATGACCAGAGTTGGTAAAAATTTCCTCCTTAATTCGGTTTACACAGGAAAATTTAAAAGATTACTATGTGTAACTGTAGATTGTTTCTAGCTTCAGAAGAGAGCCTTTTAAATCTATATTGAGATGTTGTACTTTTTCAAAATAGTTCACAGTGCCTTTTGATTTTTAAAAATATGTCCTTGAAGTCAGAATAACTAAAGCAAAGGGTTGCTCATGGATTTAACATAATGAAGAATTAGAACATGATTATAGTGAAATGGGAAAACCAAGAGAAGTTTGATTTTGAAAAATATTAAACAAGGAAAATTATTCTATGAAATTTATATCTTTGAAGATAGCATAAAATATAATGATCTCATAAGACTAGTTATTGGAAATATGCCTTCATTTCTTATCATTTCAAAAAACAATATTGACTTTAATTTCTAAAACAGTCATTTTTTTTTTCTTTGCAAGCAATGGATTATATAACATTCTGTAAGTTACAAATAAATTTGAAATACACCTGAAGTTTTATACCTTTAGAGTTAATATTTAAATTCTGGGAAAAGTTGAAGAAATTAGTGATGATCAAACAGTAGTTCTCTCATACTTTTCTCTTGTCTCAAGACAGATAACATTAAGCATTAGTGAAATCATATTTTTAGAAGTATTTAGTGACAAAAAAACTAAGACTGGGTTAGAAAAGTCTGAAGAATACTTCATGTGAAAGCATTTGTTGTTTTTATTTTTTTCATCATAGATTATGACCAAAGACATGAAAAATTTGGGACTGTCAGATTTAATGGGGAGCCTAACATCTGCAAAGCCAATTATTTGAAGGCACTAAATGCCATAAACACAAGTTGTATTTTTCAACAAGTTTCTGAGCTAGGTGTTTTCTCTGTGAGAGAATTCATTGTTTAGCCTTGTGACCCATATACTTTCTTGGCTTTTGAATTCTTGTTATTAAAAAAAATAAAAATAAAAAACTGCTCACAACTACAAGGTAACATGTATTTGTAAGCCAGTTAGCTGAATAACAGGAAATCTATTGAGACTTAAATGTCTCCCTACCCCATACATACACCTTCAGCTATAGCCTAAACTCAAAAAGTACTTGATTGATGAACTGAGATTAAGAGTCTTCTAAGTGATCTTAAAGAAACTCAAATATAATGTCATGAGACTATCACATTGTTTTCTAGGCACTAGTCAAAGGATTGTTATGAAACTTACAAAAGAAATTAAAACTAATGCGGCAGCCTGGCCATACTCTATGCCACAGGGTTCTACAAAGAGGCCACTCTAAGGATCCAGAAGTCACTGCTAGAACTTAAAATTCCAAATAACATTAAAAAGTACAAAGATTTTTGTCAAAATACAACTCCATCTTTACATTTCCTAGATTAATTAAAGACGCCAGAAATAATACTACATTTGTATCAAATAACAAAGACCTTGAGATGCAGTGTACCGTGTTAGTAGACAATCAGGACAAATGGGACCAGGCTTCCCTAGGCTGAATGCACCATCTCTTCAATCCCCTGCCCTAGCCTCAGCAGCTTGCAGCCCCGGCAGTTTGGCTGCTGATTCTTTGCTTCTTACCAGGACCTAGGTATATTTAAAGAGTTTCTCAGAAAGATGACCCTGTAGACTCGTGGCTTCAAGCACAGGACAACATAACAACGGAATCAAGTTTCCTGTGTCTAGAGACACCCATATTTTTGCATGTTACTGCCACCAGAGCAGCTCATCAAAGAGGGGATCAAAGCAGGACTTTAGCCACACATGGCACCATTTTGTCACCTGATATTTAATGATGTTGATAGACTCTGAGAAGAGCAGCTTTAACAAAAGTGTGTGTCACACACGATGGTGCTTCAGACTTTCTGAGCAACTTGGCACTAGTAATTCTGGCACACTCATTGCCAGCAATGGATGTGTCACTGGAAAACAAGTCTTCTGGCATGGCACAGCTTAATTGAGGATGTGCATGCCTTCTGATTTTAATAATCACTGGCCATGATTACTTGATGAATTGTTGTAACCTCAGAATACACAGGAACAAAACAAAACAAAAGTATGATCTTAAACCCATATGTCCACTGGGTTTCATACTAGAGTTTCACATAGGTATAAGGTAATAAACTAAATTCAAGTCTTTTTTACTTGAGAGCCATACATGACATAGGCTACAAAGGCACTGCCCCTGTAATGGAATTTTGTTTTCATTGCATTGAATTGCATTGCATTGAATAGTGTCAGTACAGTATCCAGTTTACTTATTCCCACAAAAACTTCTGGCTCTTTTCTCTGGAACACTTCACATGGTGCAAAGGAAGGTCTAGCTCCTTCTTATTTTCAGCCACCCTGTTTGAGCAGGATTCTTCATACATAACTTTCTTTCATTTTCTCATCCTGTAGAAAAGATGTGAGAACTGCAACATCCACTACTGTCTGGTTTTTGTGTAATGAGAGGTCCTTTAAATGGTCATCATCACTTTGGTCCTTGGCAAAGTTCACAAATACCTGTTAAAAGACAGATGAGATTTTATAAATACCTCTCAACTTGCTCTTTATTTATTCTAGTTGCATTTTTCGGGATAATAAAGCTAAGTCAAGTAGGAAAATACAAGAATGCCTAAGTAGACTAACTAGAAAACCATGTGTGAGGGAGGAATACTTGAAAAAGCAATAATCATTTAAAAATTGACCTATATTGCCCGCCACATCACCAGCTGTTCAATCATTATTTACTTTGGCACATACAGCCTTGATTAAAGGGAACAGAGAAGAAAACATTTACTGAATACCTACTAAGTGCCAGGTTCTGTTTGATACTTTTTGTCATCTAATTTAAATGGGATAGGGCCCCTGGCAAAATGCCTAGCCCACAGTAGGTACTCAATAAGTGGTCATTATTATGATTATTATTACAATAAATTATCATAATAACCCTATAATGTAAATAACATCATCTCTCTTTTCCAGTTCAGAGAGGTTTAGTAATAGGAGATCAGGAATTCAACACAGATAGTCTACACTGCTCTCGGGCCCATGGCAGGGGTTGGTGGGCAGGAATCCTCACCCTGACAAGTAAATCTATTTTGACACTCAAAGCTTACTTGGTCAAGTGTTGTCTGAGAAACAGAGTAGTCTTCTATGTGGAGTCGTTTTTTGCTCTGGGAGAGGATGCTGAATATCCTGGCCAGAGAAGATAATGAAGATGGAAGCTGGTATTGTAGCATGTTCCGGTGTTTCTCTTTTAGGACGCTTCCTGGAAAGGCGAGTCCAAAAAACTCCTGGACAGGCTTTAGGTCAGGGTTGGATCCTGCTATTCGTACAACTATTGTATAGCCATCTCCAAATCTGAAAGCAGGAAAACATACCCAAATGGAGGATCCCCAGCAAACTTTAGAAAAATATTTGACCCTGAAAACCTACCTTGTGCCATTAAAAGGGGAGGTCCTTGACAGACCCAGAAGTTTCTGAGAGAAGGAACTAGTTATTGCTTACTGAATACCTGTTCTATGCTAAGTGCCATAAATATATGATCTCCTTTAATCCTCACCTACACCGATAAAGTCTGGCAAACATATAGAAATTGAAGCCCAGAGAGTTAGTCACTTGCCCATGGCTCAGAACTCATAAAATTGGTAGGGCCAGGAAGGAAACCTATTTGTGTTTGACTCCAAAGCTTGTGTTCTTACCCATACTGGAACTGTACATTTTTTTTTTCATTTTGTCTACAGAACAAGCTATGAGGTAGATAGTCCTGGGAAACTGACCCGCAGAGAAGTTAAATAACTTGCTTAAGAGTCAGAGAACCACTAAATGGTATAGACAGAATTTGAATGCAGTTCTATTTTACTTCAAAGTCCTCATTCTTTCTACTATACCATTTTGCTCAGTTTATTTCCTTTTATTTAGCAACACCATCTGCACACTCAGAGAAGAATAAATATCAAGCTTTCTTACTAGGCACTATCCCAAAGAAGTTATCTTTTTACCTATTTTTCAGATGTTGAACGCTTCCAAGACATCTGAACCTCCCATTGACCATAATTGCCATCCTAGTGCAAAGAGCTTCACATTCTTCCATACTGTGGGAAAACAGAAAGAGGATTTAGTTTTAGAGAGATGTTTCTGCAACTATCAGAACATCACCATGACATCTATCTAGCATTTCAAAGAAACAGATTTCCAGCTTCCTAGGGAATCACATCCTTATGCAAATACATGTAGATATAGGGATGATTCTGTTCACTGCAGTGCTGTTTGCAACTGTGAACAAGTTGGAAACAACACAAATGTCTACAAAAAGAGGAAGAGTTAAATAAATGAGGATATATTCTAATGGAATACTATCTAGTTATAAAAACTGATCCAAACATTATCCAAATGTGCTTACTTGGAATAACATTCACAATATATTGTTAAGTGAAAAAAAACTATATATACACACACACTTTGCTTGTATCTTTGTGAAAAAACACACATACAGACACACACACACACATATATATTTGCACAGGAAAACTCTGCAGATAAACATATCCTAATGATGCCAATAGTTCTGTCCAAGTAGTATAATTTCAAGTGATAATTATTTTAATCTTTGACTTTCTGTATTTTGTAACTTTTACAAAATGATCCTGTATAATACTTAGATAATTTAAACTTCCCTCAATGTAAAAGCCAAGCCAAGACTTTACTACAGACCTATGAGATGTAAGCACTACTGATCTCCCCTCCTTGACAATACTGAGGGCACAATTCCACAAGAATCGCCGGGCTTTGGGATCCATGCCTGTAGTGGGTTCATCCTGTAATTAGAATTCTTATTATTTGCTGGAGAAAAATCAAAGATATATTTGTTATTAAATGCAGAAGAATCTTTGAAACAGCCTAAATTTTAACTTACCATTCTAGTTATTTCTTGATGGACCAAAGAACCAGAGTAAGTTTCAAACTCATTTGTAACAAGGTCACTTTTATAATTATCTCATTGAAGCGGGAAACTCAGATACTATCAATTTTTTTCTAAAAATAAACAAATTTCTCCAAATAAACGAGGAAGGAAAAAGCCATTTAGTTTCAATCATCTTTTTATGACTGATAACTACATACTAAAAATACTTTTTGTCTGAAACGTCTAATGAAGTCTGATTAAGGTTTCGGTAAAATTCCTTTTCTTCACTTCAGCTTACCCTGTTATATTACACTCGTGTCTTAGAGAAACAAATACCAGTTCTATGTTATCTGAGTAACATTAAAGCTTCAACCCAAGGCTTCTTCCCATAATAATGTCTGTACTCATCCCTTACAGAAGGAAAAGGTCAAGGGCTACTGTCCAGTTTGAACTGTTTTTCATCTATCAATGTGTAAGGAACTAAGACATAGCTGATACTTGGGGATTTTGAAGCTGTGTTCACACTCTCCATCTTCAGGAGATAAACACACAGATGGTCAGAAAGAATGTTCCAGAGAAATATCAAATCACATATCCAGCCTCAGTCACACTCAGAAACAAAATGGCTGGAGACTCTTTCTTTTGGGAGCATCTCAGGGCATGATAGAACCACCCCAGTGTATGCCGAGGGAAAAGCTTCCCTCTGCTTCTCCAAGGCTGTTCCTGGCTGGGGACAAGTCAGTTATGCAATAGCCCTGGACATATGGGAATTTCAAAAATTCATGTTTTTCATTCAGGCCAGAACAATAATTTTCCATCCACAGTCACACTCACCAGAAACACCACCGGAGGCCCACCGATCAAAGCCATGGCTGTTGAGAGTTTGCGTTTGTTGCCTCCACTATAGTTACCAGCATATTTTTCTCCATACTTCACAAGGCCCAGCTTCCGAATTGCCCACTCACCAACCTAGAACGATAAAAAGCATCCTGACTTTTGTCTGGCTTGGTTATTTTATCATGCTTTGTTACGCTTAGGTATGAAAGTGATTTCACTGAGTAGGACCAGATTCTATAATCTTGATCTGGCAACTGGTGAGGAGCCAACAGCAGGGAGAAGGGACCCGTGTGGTGGGAGCAGCACCCCTTCTCTTCCCTCCAGCATATGCATGCTCACCCACCCACCTACCCCCACTACTCCCACCCTGAAAGCAGATGCAAAGAACCAACATTTCATACACCTGCATTCATGAGGAAAAACAGCCTGAAGTTGATGTCATGTGTGAAAAAGCCATAAAGTATATTGTCAGGATACCAAAGAAGGCAGGTAGGCACTCTAGGTCCCTCAGTACCTTGCCAACTTCTTTCTCTGGGACTCCTCTCAAAAGGGCAAAGAATTCCACGTGTTCTCTCCCAGTCAGCAGCTCTGTGATGGCATCAAACTGAGGGCAATAGCCCATGTTCTGGTGTACTTCATGGATGTCCGATAAGATACTACAAAGGACAACAAACCTAGTCAGTTTTAAGCATATAGAGATAACCTGGCCTAATGTTCCTACAAAGTATGCCTGTGCCTAACAAATAATACTGATATATCTGCTGCTACTGGAAGGAAAAGCCCTTCTGTCCTCTGGATGCCAGCTCTTCAAGAGGTCCTGCCCCTACCCTGCCCAGTCCTAGCACCTGACTCTCCCAACGTGTCAGTCTATACATGCTGTCCCATTTCAGAACTTCTGAGTCCATGCCAACTGCAGCTGTTACTCCAATTCTCCTTCATGGCCATTTGGGCTCATAGAAGGTTCACAAATTCTGGGTATGAGCTCCCGCTGCTTTCGGCAGCCCATATATTGACTCAGTCACGTTTCAGTCTCACCAAATACCCAGTTCAGGCACCCTCCTAGTTCTTAAAGTTTTGTTTGTTTTTTTAAAAAATCACAGAACTTCTGAGAATCTGGTCACAGAAAAAATACACCTACAGACACAATTCAACATATCTTGGTGGGGGCAGCTTTTAGGTTCTATGGAGCCAAACAAGTTAAGAGTCCCTGATATGAAAGAAGTTCAATGTCCACCTCCTATTCTGATGGCTGCACTTTAGCCACCTCTGGATAGCCATGAACTTGGCTTTACAGCAAAAGTCATTCATCTTTGCATATCTAATTAGTACCCCCAGAATCAGCCTTTTCCAGGATTACAGTTGAGGCACACGTAGACACTGTGCTTCACCCTCACAACTATACTACCCAAGTCTGTTCTTATAGCCATCCCTGTGACAGACCTTACTTTGGGCCAGTGTTGCTGGCATTTCTATTTGCCCCAGGAGCTTGGTACTAGGAACAAGCCTGGGGAAGCAGTTGTGCAATATTAGGCCTGTTATTCTCAGAATTTCTATTCTCTTAGGACTTCTTTACGCTGATACTGGGGGGAAAAAAACTGGTAAGAGACAGAGGAGAAGATCAAATGGCTATGTTAAGTTCCTTGCTCTTTTTTATTTTACTGGCTAGTCCCCTTCCAGTGTTTTCAAATTGTGAGTCATCACCCATTAGTGGATTGTGAAATAAGTTTAGTTGGTCATATCCAGCCCCTTTTAAATGACATGGTATAAAGTAGAATAAGAAATATCAGAGTACACTACAAGTAGTTATTATTTCATGAAACTTTGTGTAAGTATGTACTGGGTTGAGATGTAGAAAGCATTTTCCTCAAAGGTCATGACCAGAAAAGTCTGAAAGCTACTGCCTAGGACCATCTCTCCATATAAAAAGCCAAGAGAAGTCCCACATATTTAGAGTACTTTGGGCAGGGTAACTGTCTAAGAGGTCTCTAATTTGTGGTTGTGCCCTCAAAGATCAGATTACTTAGAGACCTGTACAATCTCAGAAAATCACCTAATGGTGGTTCTATCAATTGGTCCACCCTTTAGAGAAGGCAGTTTGGCACATATATACCCTTTTACCTTGTAGGAATTTTCCCTGAGAAAATAATAAAAGATGTATATAAGGACATGTTTACATAGTGAAAAATGAAAACTAATAAAATTATGTCCAACATTTATAAGGAACTGATTAAGTAAATTATATGTACATGTATACAGGGGAATTTCATGTAGCAATGTAAAATTCTACATCTTAGAATATGTAACTCATTGGAAAATATTAAAAATATACTAATTAACAATAAAAAACTAATTTTAAAATATATACACAGTATGATCTCAATTATATGGCACATTTATATGTATATATAAGACTGACTGGGGTGATAGAAAAGTTCCAAAACCAGATTGTGGTGATGGTTGCACAACTCTATGAATTTACTAAAAATCATTGAACTATACTCTTAAAACAAGTAAATTATATGGCATGTAAATTATACATGAATAAAGCTGTTAAAAGACTAGAGTAAGTCTGAAAGAAAATGTAAATTGTGGTTATTTCTAGGTAGTGAAATTGTGGATGCTTTTTATCTTTTTCTTTACACTTTACTATATTTTCAACATTTTCATGAACTCTAAATAGTACCATTATAATCAGAAAAATAATAATATATTTCTTTAAGCAAAACTAAAAACTAAGTATTTGCAGCATAATTCAGTCCACCACTTTTCTTACCTATTTTTGTTAAGGAAAGCATCTCCTCTGGTAACAGTGGTATCTCCAGTTAACATCTTGAAAGTTGATGATTTCCCAGCTCCATTAACTCCCAGAAGTCCAAAGCACTGAAAAAGATTGGGTCAACTGTATAAAGCAAACTACAAAACTCTGAATATGAATGGCCCCATAAGATGACCTAGCTTGGTTTTTATATCACATGATCCTAAAACCTCATTCTTGAAAAATCAATGATTTTCTTGGTTTTAAGACATCAGATAGAGTTTTAAATATATATTTTATAATGGGGCCATTTTAAGTGTGGGTGTATTTGCAAATATTATTTGAGTCATCAGATAGAAGTCAAAGTTAATGTGTGGGAAAAAAATAATGAAAGCCATCTAGTCAAATCATACTACTATTCTTGCTAAAGGACATAAGGGAACACAAACAGGAATAGAAAGGAGAAAATCTATTTGAATCTCCTCACCATCTCAAATGGATCACAAAAGCACATTTTGGATGTGTGCTTTTTAAAAGCTGCCTGGGATTTAAAAAATCATTCTCTTTTGACATACTGGTTCCCTGTCCTCTAAATTCTGATTGCTCCACACAGGCATAAGTAGAGAAGCCCTTAAAAGCCACTTTCACCCCCTGCAGACACTGTTGTTTGATTGGGTAGAGATAGTCTGAATTAATATGACAAACACAATGTAGACAAAGTATCTTTACCTCACCAGGTGGAATGCCAACACAAATCCTGTCAACAGCAGGCTTCCTCTTCCTCCTATATATCTGCAACAAACAAAATGCAAAAATTCATGAGCCTCAGTGATTCACAGCTCTCCCAAGCAACTGTGGCGGAGGGGATTATAACCCAAACACACCACAAAATAAAACTCGTCAATAAGATTCACATATTTGATGTGTTATGAGCCTTGTTCTGTATCTGTGGCAACTGGCTGCTGACTAACTGAAGCTCATAATAAAAGTCTATTTATTTTTTAATCTTTCAAGAAACATATTGGTCATTCATATCTACATAATTTTTCATTTGTTTAACATATAATCCTATTGTAGATATTTTTTAAAATTAAGTTCCACAAGGTAGAAATCTGCAGTCAAATTATTACAAATATTGTATAGGTTACAAAAAAGTGAAATTCTAGCCGGGCTCAGTGGCTCAGCCTGTAATCCTGCGCCTTCGAGAGGCTGAGGTGAGTGGATTGCCGGGTTCGAGACCCGCCTGGGCAACTTGGCAAGACCTCATCTCTACAATAAATCAAAAATGAGCCGGGTGTAGTAGCGCGCACCTATAGTTCCAGCTACTTGGAAGGCGGAAGGATTACGGGAGCCCAGCAGATCGAGGCTGTGGTGGCCAGGAGCGGCCGCTACACTCCAGTCTGGGCGACAGAGTGAGACGCTGACTCAAAAAAAAAAAAAAGCAAGTGAAATTCTGGAATTCTGACATCTAAAGAAGGCTGAAGCAGGTCCCCTCACTGAGCAATGGGAATGTATCAGTTATTTGGACCACGAAGCTCAAAATCAACCATTTATTCTCCCTACCTCAGTTTTGACTAGATATACAATATTAGTATATTTTAATAACTAACACATGAACGTAAGTGTACAAAAACAAATATTCTCAAGAATGGGAATGCACATTGCAGAAGTATTCTCAGTAGGAATCCTTTCATTAAGAAGTCTCCATGGTGTTTTTTAAATAAAATTAAATTGACAGACGCTTGGATGTACATTTTTGGAAGCAAGCCCTTTTTATTAAGCAAGTCAGCAAAATGCTGATTTCCAGCATACAAAGCTGAGAAAACTGAAGACAAGTTGTTGTACCTGTGCTTATTGTCTCACCTTCGTCAACTCCTTGATTTCTAAGATGTCATTCTGGCCTCCTCCATCAAGAATTCTCTGTCTTTCCCGCCTCACATCTTCATCCTCATCATTCAGAGGAGGGAGTTTTGCATTGACAGGTCTTTGAGGAAAATTTTTAAGGAAAAATGAACCTTTCAAATGATTTTTCAGGACAAAGATCCAACCTCTAAAACAGTCTTATAAAGTCTACTCGCCACAATTTCCAGGATGGGCAGGGCTGGGGGTTAGGGGAATGTCCACATTTGGAAAATAAGTTTATCTATTTCGTGTTCAGTTCAATCCAACCACCACTGGCGTGTTTCCCTGTGTGCCTCTGCTGTGACCTTCAACCAGGTTCTCCATGAGTTCTGAGAAAAAGCTCACCTGGGTCTGATGAAGAATCTGTACTGGATCAGAACAGTAATGAGGAAGAATACCACTCCTTCCACAGCCATGGCGAAGAGGTTTCGTCCCACCAAGTCCCAAGACAGTGGTGACACAAAGCGATTCTCCCCTGGTAGACACAATGCAGAGATCTAGTCAGAATGGAGGTATCAAATACCATGGCCCTTCCTCACTTTTGGGCCTGTCTTCCTATAAGCAACAATGGCTATTGCCTATAAGAAAATAACAAGGGAGTGACCACTTTCTAGGCGTGATTCAAGGAAATGTATTATGACCCAACATCAATCAGAATTTCAGCACAACGTGTATTAGAGCTATAACTTAATTGAAGATTTCTAATATTTCCTTTGTAATAAGACATACCAAAAATCCTTTTTAAAAAGGCAAACACTTCAGGGAAATTTTCAGGGTATTTTTTTAAAGCATTTTAAATAGATGCCCCTTTCAGTAGCATATAATGTGACTTAGTGACTCAATTAAATCACCGGGTTTTATGTAAATTTTCCTTAGATTTCTGATATATCTCCTTTATACCTCTAAGTTGAAGCAAAGTCCCTCTTCTATGTCCATTAAATAACATGACCCATCTGACTATATTAGCCAGTGGATGAATGATAGTCATATAGACATAGGAGAAATATTTTTAACCACTCTAAGAGTAGAAAGAGCTGCAATAGAATATATTTTTATACACTGAGTAAAAGATAATATACAACTTGATCTGTAGGTCCATGATTTGCCTAATAGAGCAAATATTTGCATCTTTCCTTCTGATTCTCTTGTCTGTATCTAATTCCCAAAGCTCTGGTTTGACTTTTCCAATGACTCTGACAAACCCAACCAGTGGCATGAGCCACTGGGTCCAGCATTTTCCTTACCTCCAAAATTGACTACTCACTGATCTCAATGCCATCAGAGGCATGGATAAATCATTGTATCACAAGACCTATGCCACAATCAGATGCATTGGCATCAGCCCTATCAGTGGGTAGGAGGAGGTTTGGGGGACACCCTGTACCTAATCACCAGCCTCTTTCCAAAACAAAGGCCAGAGTCCCAAAGCCTATGCACACTGCCAGCTTCATTACAGCATCCTGTAGTCACTGCTTCACTTACCAAACCTTTCCAGGGCGTCTGCCATTGCCTGATTTTTCACCATGTCAATAAGCCCTCGTCCCAGGCAAAAATGTGGGAAGATCAAAAACACAGACTTCAGGATATCATTGATATTATTCAGTTTCTAAAAAAAAAAAAAAAAAAAAAAATGAGGGGATGGGGATGGGGAAGGAGAAAGACTGGATGTTCTTCATGGTTTATTCTAAAAATTTAGCAAAGTCCAAGATATGAGAGTGAAAAAAATTTTTTTGATTCCCTGAATACAAACTGGACCTTTGAATTCAGTTACCAATAAAGAACAGCAGACATAGCTGATAATATATAATAAAATTCTGTTCTTCAGAAAATTTGAAGTAATGCTATGAGTATGGGCAAAGTTTAAAAACAGTTATGTTTAATCAGAAGCAAATCCATAACAAGATATTTGCTTAGCATTTTAAAAGCAAATTGTTAATGTCTGGGTCAATATCTGAGTTTCAAGATTGTGTTGGAATTTTAAAAATTATTATTGAATATATCAGAACTTATTATGACCCCACAAGGCAGCAGTGGCCAAATATCCAGCAATTGAGTAAAGGGCTATATGCTGGATGCATTATGTGCTAGGGCATGGAAGAGGCAAAAGTTAATAAGAAACAGTCTCCACTTTAATGAAGGAAAATATGTAAACAGGAAACTACCACATAACTGGATTTACGTTGTACTGGAGAAATTAACTTAAGGGGCTCCAAGAGCATGGGGAATAGAGAGAACATCTCCCATAGAGCAGGTAAGGAAAGCTTCACATTGGAGCTAAGCATTTTAGGGTAAGGGAGACGCTACTAGATCCTGCGCTAGAAGAAGGGCATTTCAAGCCAGGCCTACAGATTTAAGGGATAACTCGGCAGAAGTTTACAGGGCACTGGGGAAGGGTATGGTGGGAACTGCACCTATGAAAAATCTTGTGTGTTAAGCTAAGTTGTTTGGACAAGCAATGACAATCGGAATGGAAAGGGAGACTTGTTTCAGAGATGTAACTGGAAGAGCTGACAACATGACCAGTTGAATATGGGAAATAAGCAACAGCAAACCACCTAGGATGACTCTAAGAGAGCCAGCTTGGGCAACTGTGTGAATGGTAATGCCAAATATGACAGGAATAGCAAGAGGAATATTAGGTTTTGAGGGGAAAGTGGATTAGCACATGTCTGGTTTGGGTATCCATAAATTATCTAAATGAAGTCATCTACTAGGCAAGTGAGAATGTGAGACTAGAGTTCTAGGGAACATTTAAGGTTCAAGGTATAGATCTGACAGATAACCATAACCACTGAGAGAGGTGGTAGTAAAATCCTTGGGATCGATAGAATCACCCAGAGCTGATGTCTAAAGTAGAAGACAAAGATGGCAGAAGACCAAGTCTTTGGAAAAGCAGCAACAAAACAGAAAGAAGTAGAAAAGAATCTGTCAAAAAAACTAAAAGGCTTGACCAGCAAAATCTAAGGCACACTAGGAGAGAAATGTGCTGTGCTTTCCCAGGGAAGACAGACTGAAAAAAGGACAGAACAATCAGTGGTGGCAAAGTCACAGACAAGTGGAATCAGATCATGATTAAACACTGCCCTCTGGCTCCCAGAGATGTTCATCCCAGCAGGAGATGTTTTTCTGCAGAACTCACATTGTTGGTGAAGAGCTCCAGCACGAAGGTGGCCACACTGCCGTTGATGCCAATGAAGAGGTTCACGCTGGTGAGCACCACATAGGCTGTGCTGGGGATCTTAAACACGAAGGAGGCTGGGTACATGAGAGGCGTGATCGACCACCTAGCAAGACACAAATAAAGTGTTCACTGGGAGTCCCCTGCCCTCCCTCTGTCATTGGGCACCAAAGGTCTTACCCACTGTGTGACTCCCTCACCCAAAGGTGCCTTACCCGTACAGCAAAAGTAGAAGGGCTAGCACAGGCAAATTGGTGGAGGACACATAGGACTTTTGCTGGAAGCAGATGAAGATGATAATGACCAGCGTGGCAGGGACCACATAATTGCACTAAAAGTGAAAACAAATAAATAAAGTTCACCCCTAAATCAAAAATACAACACCTTCCAAGTCTTCACCATCATCATACAAGAAAGGGCAGACAAACATATTGGAGAGTAATTTTGAATTAATGAAGTCACATAAACTATTAATCAAAATGTTGGACAATACATTTTGACAAGCATTTTACCCTTGGCTGATTTTATAAACTGCATGCCCTTTCTGTCTTTCCAGCAGCTAAGCCAAGGTGTCACGCTCAGTAAACTTACTGAACGATGGATTCCTAGTCAGAATAATTTCAATTTCACAGGTGGCAAATAAGCTTTCATTCTTCTTCCCGAAGATGATTGTGTCTGTTTCATCATTAATGCTATGTTATAGTCTACCCAAGTTCAATCTCACATGTACTCTGTTTATGAGGTAAGTGCTCATAGCACGAATGTCAGAATTGTTTCATCACACTGAGAATAATGTTAGAGTCTGTCCTGACAGTGTACCATGCGGTAAAATGCAGAAATAAAGACTTGACCATAGGACAATTATGAGAATTCATAGCTGGCAAAGCAAAGCGTAGGCAGGAAAGTGATAGTGGACTTGTCAGCTGTTAGAAGAATTGCAGCTTCAGCCCACAGGGCTCTGCCTCAATCTCATCCTACTTGATGTGTTTATCAGCAACTTAGATGAAGACATGCTTATAGCAAATTTCCAGGGCTCTAGAGCAGGGAGGGACAGATAATGCACAAGAAGATAAGTGATGTCCCTGAGTTCAGGGACTCAGTCTTTCATCTCTGAATTCCCTACGCCTGGCATAGTCAGACACATAGTGAGTGCTCAGTGTGTTTACTGAATAGAGTAATTACTGAATCAAGACAAAACAAAAACAAAATAAATAGACACTAAACAAGATGTAGTTTAACAGAAATAAATAGAAAGTATAGGTTCAAAATGTCAAATGCATTAGTATAGAATGAAAGAGACCTGATTTAACAATCATTTTTGTGAAATGGATAAGACGGCACTACAAAATGCAAAATTCTTGTGTTGCAGTAATAAAAGTGTGGGATAAAGATCAACTCCCTCTAGACCCACAGTCATTCATACCACAGCCTAAACACAAGGTTAATTCTAGACTTTGCTTCTCAAAAGGGACATTAACAATATGGTGTATGGCCGTAGAAGGACAATCAGATCAAAACAGTGACAAGTCTAAGAGGCTTGATACAATCAGCACAGACATCATCATCATCGCCACAATCACTCACATGTGTACAGTGCTTTGGAGGTTACAAAAATCATCTTATCTGGGAAACAGGCTAAATGAGACTTTGAGAATTGTCTTTCAATATCCTGGGGCATCCAATGGGAGAATTAGATTTGCTCTGTGTGGCTTTATAATTATTGGAAGTGATAGGGAGATATAATTCAACTGCATTTTACAATAATTAGAACTTTAGAATTCTTTGAAGTCCTTCATATTGGTCTACAAATAAGTATTATATTGTAGCTGGTACAAAAATATATTTGCAATGAACAGATAAGCTGCTGGTAAAATGTACAGTTTTCAAATGACAGATGGCTTTCCTAGTAAGACAAAGGACACTCTGACTCTTAAGGCTAAAACCCATCAGAGAAGTTAGAGGCATTGACTTGGAGTTTTGACTAAGGCCCTTCCATCTCTCTGACTCTTAGGAAAGTTTTCACTTAGGAAATTAAGTGGTAGTGCTATTAACTTTAGTCAGTGTGTACAAACTTTCCCTCTGGTGTGACATTAGGTCTGTTACTCAATGTTGTGTTAGATGTCATGAAAGTGATCAACTGCCCCTGCTTTTTCCCTTTTCATACATCTTTAGACAAGCTGGAACATTTTCTGGTGATAGCAGGGGCTCTTTCTTCCTTCTCTATACCAATCCACGGTCCTGATAGACATTTATAGAGAGGCGGCAGTCCTGTGTCCTTACCATATCCCAGACAAAATTGGAGAGCCAGTAGATGACAGGCTTCACTCCACTGATGAACTGCAGGTGCTTCGCTTTACTGACCCGCTCCTGGATCAGGAACACAACAAAGCTGGCTGGGACGAAGGACATTGCAAAGATGACACAGATGGACACGAGGACATCCACTGATGTGGTCATTCTGTTAAAAAAAAAAATAATGAGGATCTGAGGGGTCTTTGATGCAGTTGTGGGCTCAATCAACAAGAACACAGACACATACACAAATATCTGAGGCACAGCCCAGAGAAAAACATCTGTTCACCAGACACATCTTATTTGGGGTTAAGATGATTGTTTTTAAGTCAAATAAAAAGCCTGACAATTCAAATGCAACAATGATTTCACTGAGGTCAAAAAGAGTTCACTGCCATAATAAAACTAATGAAGGAAGTCAGAGTGGCCTAATGTTATTCACTTTGGTCCACTGTTCTTGACCTTGTAAGAGCAGTAAGTTATAAATTTTCACACACAAAGGAACAGTGTGACTTGACAGCTAAATAAGAACAGAAGTATTAGTATGCAGCTACTCAAATAAGTTAGTTTTTTCTGACTTCAAATAAACTTGAAAACTGCATTTTATAGCATATTGATCTAACACATACAAAAAAATCTACCAGATTCTTGTAAGAAGTCTTATAAGCCTATTACACAGGTCTTAGTATAAATATCCTAGTGTTCTATGTTGATATTCTATAGTAGTTAAGTAGAAACAATAACTGCCATGCCCCATATTCAGGAAAAGATTCCAATGTGCGTTGAATATCAACTCTCTACTGGGTGTTGGGCTTGGCAACTTACATGTATTGCCTCATTATTTAGCTTTGTACAACTAGAAAGTTTAGAGACCAGATTCAAATCCAGATCTCTAAGGCGGCACACTTCAAATTAGATCATACTGGCTTTAAACATCACACACACACACAGAGAGAGAGAGAGAGAGAGAGAGAGGGGGGGGGGGGGGGAGAGAGAGAGAGCATGAGCAGGCACGAGCGCTTAATTCAGGAATTAAAGATGAGCTAAAAAAGCATATGAGGGATGACCCAAAAAACCCTGATATTTATAAAAAATTTTATATTTATTAAGTTTAAGCTTCAGTAAACTTTGAAGTACTCGTTTGATGCGATATACCTATCAAGACATCTTTTCCACTGCTAAAAACAATTTTTGAACTTGTCAATTTTGATGCCTTTTAGTGTTTCGGCCATTTTTTGTTTCACCTCTTCCACATCAGCAAAACATTTCCCTATGAGGGCTTTTTTCATCCAGGAAAACAAAAAAAAAAAGTCACTCAGGGTGATTTCGGATGAATAGGGAGGGTGAGGCATGGCAGTCATGCCATTTTGGGTCAAAAACTGCTGAACACTGTCACCGCAGTATGGGCAGGTGCACTTGTAAATCACCCATCATAAAATGGTCAAATGCATTAAAAGTATCTCAAAAAAAAAATGTTCACTGAAACCAAATGTAGCCTCTCACAACAATGCTAGCTAGTAAGTACACTAATACAATGGGTTTCTAGAACACTTAACTAGTCGAGGAAGCCTGTACTACAGAGGGCCCGGCCCGCCCATCAAAAAATAATTCTGAATTTTTTAGGGTCCCCCTTTCATACTTTACCAAGTGTAAAACAGTGGCTTTAAAAAAATGATACTGATATTTTTATTAAACATTTGTGTTAATAGTGAGAAAAATTACTTTAGAATTTTATTAACAATTTTTAAGTTCACTTTATATGAATTCACTAAACGTAATGATTTTTATATATCATTGTCATTTCTCTGCTGCAGGTCAAGAAGCCCTACTAGCCAATTCATAAACTTACTATTTTTGCTCAGAGCCTGGATCAGTCCAGACATACCATAATGTAACTGTCTTTGCAGCTGTTACCCTATAACCAGCTTCATATTTCCTTCCCTGTTCCATGATTTTCCCCACACCCTCTCCTCTCCTCTGCTCTCCTCTCCCCAGCCCATCCATTCAGACACAGCAACACTTACAGAGCCACCTCTGACAGCTGCTGCTTGGTGAGATTCAGGGGGTGATTGAAAGCAGTAATCCCATAATGGCTAGGATTCTCTCCCTTTTGCAAGTTGGCCCGGAGAATGGCATTGTTGATGACATTCAGGAAAGAGCTGATGGCATGCCAGCCCTTGTTATTGAACCACACCTGAAATAAAACATACCAGGTAAAAGGCAATGTCCTCCAAACCCTACCCCTAAAGGTAGGTACACACACACAAAAAAAACATGCATACACACTTCAGAAAGAAATTCCAATCACACACAGTAAGACAAAACACTATAATCAGAGAACATGGCAAAGTAATGATAGCACACAGGATACACTGACCATTGGCTATGTGGCCAGGCACTGTGAGGAGGACCTTCTATCTTTAACTCATTGAATTCTCACAGCAGTTTGGAAATAGCCATGATTATTGTTTCCATTTTACAGATGAGGGAACTGAGGCTTGCACAGGTTAAGTTACTTAGACAAGGTCACTAGTATGTCTGGTGGCAAAGCAAATTCTCTTCATCACTATACTGTACTGCCTTGCTCGTAAAGTTGACAGTTTGCTCTTTTCTGTTATGTATGCCTCCCTCTTTAACATGAACTGAAAGTACTTCAGGAAACATAAGGATTACTGTTCTCTAAGAAGCTACTACAACAGACAATGGTTTACCTTGACATTATTTTTGGTGTCCAGTCCTGTCATAAACCTTCCCAAGTTATTGAGAAATCGATCTGCAGAACTGTCCTGTAAACAACAGAAACCTGCCTCAAGTTGTGATCACTCACACAGTAAGGGACAACAGTAAGTCTGGAATCTGTGGACAACAGGACAACCCTATGAAGAGCGATACCACTACTACTTTATCCACTGAAATTAAATTTGAAGTCATTAAATAAATGACCCCTGAGAACCAAGTGACTGGGAATCTACAGCACAGAGGTTACCACAAAGTCCAAGCCTTGAAGGAGTCACAGAGAAATCCCTGGATGCAAAGTCTGAGTATCACAGTGTGATAAGGATTCTTCTAAGTTTTCCCCTGGCATCATCTGAAGGGCCATGACCACACTCTACATGCAGATGTGTCAGACATATGGGCCCATACCTCAAAAGCAGAGCTAGGACTATTGCTGCTGTCCACAACCCTAAAGTCCTTGTCATCTGACCTCTCCAGTTCTCACTTAAAAATGGGAAACTTGAGATCCAGACAAATGAAATGAGTACTCATCAGGTCCCAAAGACTAATCTGCCAGCTTGAAAAGGAAAATGATTCATTTACTAGTTAGCCAGTGATTGTTTCAGAAAAATAGGTCTGAAACCCTAGTTGTTCTGAGAGCTTTTAAATCTAGGGATTTGTTTTTGATCTATACTTTTAAATAAACACCAAGTAGTTCAGTCTTGCCTGGCTCAAATCTTAGTGATTTAGTATGACAATGCTGGTTTTGTATTCAAACATATCCAGAACAGTGAGCTGCTAGGAGATGAGATTTACCTGCCAACTGCTCCCATGTCCCAGAAGCTCCAAACCCATTTTTCTGACATGTCTCATAATAGATACTGTACCTTGGCTAGCTTCAAGTGTTTCTTCATTTGCTTGATGGCATCATTAACTTCTTGACTTGGAGGAAGCGCTTGAGAATTACTGACGCCCAGGGAAAACCCGCCGTACCTAATAGAACAGCCAGACATTAAAACTCAGACAGTGTGGTGCACAGTATCACTTAGCAGCAGACACTGCATGAGTGTGTAAACTTAGCAGCAGACACTGCATGAGTGTGTAAAAACTTCACTGAGACAAATTCCTATTCTAAGCAGGACCAAAGGTTGACTCAGACATGTTACACTTCAGTCTCTTCTAATGAATTCTCACAATTTCTTAACCTTCATGGTTCTTGCCTAGCAGGAAGACTTGGCCTGATTATATATGCAGTTAGACATCTGAAACCATGGAGGACAGAATGGTCATTCATCTCACCCACACTCCTACTCTGGTGGCTAAGACCTCAACTTGGATCTGGAGGTAAGCAGATGCAGAATAAGGGTGAGCGGGGAGCCCCACGCTGTCTAGAGTAGGCTACATGGGGCACTTAGACAGGCTTTGGCTCTTTCCTAGCATGAAGGCCACTACAGGGGCCTGCATCTGCTCTGCTCAGAGTTCCAGGGGTCCTGACTCTTGGGGAAAAGGCAAAGAGGAAAAGAAGGAATCAGTAACAGGGAGCCTTTGGGGTCCCCTGAGGCAGCCATATCAACTATCACATTTTCCACGATGCACAAATTGGCTTCAAGTATTCTCTCTTCCCTAGTCCCACATGTTCCTCCAAAATCCAGACGGGCAAATGGGTTAAAACACAGTGAAAATAGATGATGGTTTGATGCCTCTTATTTCCTCCAAGACCTTCTTAGTTCCGTGCCAAATGCCTAAAAAAAATATCCTTGTGTCCTTTGGAACCCTTGGGGATCTGATTTGAGGGGAAAGGTAACTAGGATAGGTATCCTCCTCACAACACTGTACTCCCCTGAAATCCCTAGAGCCCTGCAAGAGATTTCTGACTCTCATCAAGGAAATCGGTCCACCAAATATTTCAGAGGCCTCTGAAGTAGCTGCTGAGCACTGAGCAGATGCTGTGGGTAGAAACTCTAAAGCCGCCTAATCTGAATCTGTCTGTGCCCCTGTGTGTTCCACACATTCTGCAAGGCATCTGCTGTTTGTGACGGACAATCCCTGAACAAGCAGCTTTGTTCAATCCAAGACACCTACATCAAGATCATCCTCCTGAGCCAGAGTGCCAGGGAAAAATGAAAGAACAGAAAGAGATCAACTTACCTAAACTCATTTACCCAGATCTTGTTCTTTAAGCTGTAGAAAGCAAGGATAAAGAAAGCAAAAAACAGCTCAAGTAACTCAGAGCATTGATCCTGATGATGTAAAAGGAAATATCTATCTGAGGATACAAGAAAGGGACAGAAAATACCCTATGATCAGGCTAGCATTTTAAGATTGTGCCAATGGAAAGGCTATTCCCAGCATTTTTTTTTTTTCTCTTCTCTCCATTTTAAAAACCTTATTACTTATACAAGAATCACACCTTGGCTTAAACCAAACTGAAAACCACCTTATAGACCAAGATATGACTGAACTACAAGTTTCTTAATTCAAAGTAATACTTCAATTGTGGGTGACTTATGAAGAGAATCCTGATCACTGGGCCCAGATTATGTCTCTTTCTTGGAAACTCATGGTCATTGTTATTCCAGCATGTGCCATTTAAAGTCTCTGAGAACTACTAAATGGAAGACCCCAACTGACCAAGAAGATAGGAAGGAAACCAGAACAAACATGTCCTGACCATCAGCTATGCATTAACACTGCCAGGAAGCTACAGGCTCTTCCAAGGCTCCACAGCCAAATTAGACTGCTAAGACTTCCCAGAGCTCTCCTTCATGACACTACACATGATCATGGAGCCCACGCATGAGAGAGTAACACAGGCACTTTATTTTCATCATTTAATTCAGTACTCACAACAAAAGAGCAATATTAATATCACGTTCTATATAATCAAAGGCTTTAAAAGGATAACCAACCACCCCCAGTCAAATAGCCAGTAAACGGCAGGATTTGACTTTGAATTCAGATTTATTTTCATTCTAGACCATGCTTGCCACAATCTTTAAGCTGGCAACTGAATGTAGACAGAATCAGTTCATAATCTGGCATAGAACCAACTGCTCCAGTCTTCTATTTATAGGACTGTAGCTCTTCTAATTAGTAATGATAAAGCAGGGACACAGTTTAGTAAATAATCACCTTTTGGCTATGATCTGCACGTATGTCTTCACCAGATAATCTGAAATGTTTCTTCCTGTCAGGTCCTGAAGGATGTCTGCAGTGTTCTGTTTTCTCTGTCACCACATAAAAACCAAGTACATGAGTCAAACCAAGCACAAATCAAGGACAACAGTGACCATGTCCCCAGGGTGACCAGAACCACAGGGCCCAGGCACTGCCCTCAGCCAACCAGCGCAAAGACCAGTTCATCCTCCTCTTGGCACTTAGCATTTAGTTATGCAATGCCAAGATCTTCCTCAGGAATTTTTGTTTAAGAGGGTATCCTCGACCTCCTGGATTCAAGCAATCCTCCTGCCTCAGCTTCCCAAGTAGCTGAAACTACAGGCCCACAATACAACACCCAACTATTTTTTCTAAAGCTGGATCTGCAGGCCCACACTACAACACCCAGCTATTTTTTCCTCACTATGTTGGCTAGGCTAGTCTCTAACTCCTGACCTCAACAGATCCTCCTTCCTCAGCCTCCCAATCATTAGGATTACAGGTGTGAGCCATCACACCTGGCAAGGAATTTATTCTGAATATATAAACAATAAATATTGAGATGAGATTCTTCATAGTCATAGATTTTTTTAAGGAAGCAGCATCATTAACTATGCCTAGTGAATTCTTTTGTTCATTGGAGTTATATTGGTATCCAGATTAACTGTTATTTTTAAAGTCCTGGTAACAAGGCCTTCTTTAAGTTCTCACATTCATTTAAAGTTATTATGTCCTCACCCTGCAACCTGGATGCTGATAAAGCAGCAGAGAGCTGTCACGAGCAAGTACTCTTCCTAAAATAATTCTCAGGAAAAATTGGCTGAGAACTTCTTCTCAAACTCAGAGTCTCAGAGAATTGTCATAGTTGACAAGACCTGCAGAAGAATTCTCGTCTTGTTTCCCTATGTCATAGGTGAGAAAACAGGGAGTTAACATGGCCTGTTGAAGGCCACCAACTCATTTGTGGCAGAACCAGGGTTGAAAGCCAGGACTGCTGCAGTGTGTCCTATGACAGCACCGCTGAGGGACAGGCATAGACACAATGTGGACTAAACACCCTCCCTTCAAAACTCAAATGCTTTCCCGTGACAAGAAGTCAAGTCAAGACTGAAATAGACTCTCCAAGCAGAAGGTACCAGCCTATCCTGCACCTCCATCTGCTCAGTCACACCCTGAGAATGACTCACTTGTGGAGGAGGCAGCCCCCCTGCCCCTGAGGGACACACAGGCAGCATTTTCTTGATTTTGTCGCTGCTACACTGGCAGGCTGGTGAGGGGTTCTCCATCGTCCAGTTTCCATTTTGGAAGAGGTCCATGATGGTCTGGGGAACTGGAGCTGTGGTCCACTCCTCATCCCCCGCCAAACAAGGCATGTCTCTGCAAAGGACAGACATCAAGGAGCGGATCACCCAAGAAAGCCAGGCATTTTCTGTTGCCTCAGGAGCACAGAATCATTTCATAACAACTATAAACTTGCATCTGTCTATATTTGGAAAATATAAGCATAATCTCATTTGATTGATCCCACAATATCATTTCATACATTGGGAAAATGGAATGCAGAGAGGTGTTAAATGTTCATATACTGAACTCTGTTCAATCCAATCAACCAACAATTTGTTCACACAACAAATATTCATTGAGGATCTATGTGCCAGGCACTGTTCTACATATTTGAGAGTCTGCGGTGAACAAGACAAAATAGCTACCTTCATGCAGTTGCGTGCCCAAGGAGGAGTTAGACAACACATACATAATATAATCTTAGATGGCCACAAATAAAGCAAAATAAAGGAAGAATGACTGGGAAGAATGGACCTCCTAAAGAGATGGTATTTCGGTAAAAGCATAAACAACATAGCAACAAGCTAGGCAAAGATTTGGCAAAAAAACACTCTGAACAATAGCAATGAAAAGTGCAGGTACAAAGACCTTAGGAAGAAAAGAGTTACTGTATTTGAGAAACAACAGAAAAGCAACATGGCAGGAGTATGAAAAGCTAAGAGAAAGCATAATGATAAATGAGGAGGAAAGTAGGGAGAGGAGCCAGATGACATAAGCCTGGGAATGAGTCTGGATTTTATGTTCATGTGCTGAAAATCAAGCAAAGAGTGGGAGGATCCAATTTATGCTCTTAAACAAGTAGAGAACTGGGAGGTGAGTGGGGTGAGAGTGCTTGATGCATGAAGAGCTAGGTTGTCCACAAACATCACAGGAGATAAGACACAAGGCCTTTATCCCTGACTTGAGCTCTGAATTATTATGAGAACATCAGCAAGTCCCTTGCCCTCTCAAAGTCATTTCCAGTATCCCTTCCACTTTCAAAATTTCACAGTTAAAATAGAACCACAGCCTTTATATTATGCTTGCATGTATTAAAAACTCAAATGGGCCGGGCTTGGTGGTTCAGCCTGTAATCCTAGCACTTTGGGAGGCCGAGGTGAGCGAACTGCCTGAGCCCGCGTGTTCGAGATCCACCTGGGCAACTTGGTGAGATCTCATCTCTACAATAAATCAAAAATTATCTGGGCACAGTAGTGCATGCCTGTAGTTCTGGCTACTTGGAAGGCTGAGGAGGAAGGATTGCCAGAGCCCAACGGGTCGATGCTGGGGTGGTTGTGAGCATGCCACTGTATTCTAGCCTGAATGACGAAGTGAGACTCCAACTCAAAAAAAAAAAAAAATAGACTCAAATGAACAGTTTTTCAGGTTGAACTCTAGTTGTCTCTTTAAAGCTTCTTAACTAATTGGAAAAGTCAAACTAAGACATGGTGCCCTGCTGAAGCTCACACTCTAAAATCTTCAAAAGGAGATTGGTTGAGACACACTTAAATATTACTGAGAAGCATTCCAGTCAAATTCCCTTCACTACCACTTTTTGAAAAGCCTAAAATTTGAATTTTAGTAAGAGTTACCCCTTCCTTCAGTCTGTCTGCAACAGATGGTGGTGTACTCAGACTTAACCTTATGAGCCCTCTGGTGCCAGAGCCATGCCTCTTTCATCTATAAGTCTAGTTATAAATCCTACAGATCCTTCTTCCTAGGCTGCCATAAATCTATGAGTCCATACAGTGAATCCAAATAACTATATTATCATCTCATCTCATTTTTCTATCTTCCCTACACAACCTTCATGTGGAAAATCGAAGGTCTTATGAAATCCAGATAGGCCATATCTGTGTCCTTCTCTAACCCTCGTCATCTTGTTATTTGGGAACCAGTTTGGCTACTAGGATTTACCGCCCATTAAGTACTAACTACTAGGTACAAACAAATATTTTGCAACTATCCAATATTAATTAAGAACTAACAAGCACATAGTAGCTACCCATTTAGAAATCTGCTCTAGAAGCTTGTATAAACAGGTATCAGGTTCACCGTTCTGTCATTTGCAGAGTCAGCCATCTTCCCATTAAACTTGGAATTCAAGTTTGCTCTTCTCCAGTTCTCCAGCACCTTCCCAATTCTCCATAATTCCTCGGAGGTCACCTCAGCTGAAAATTCCACTTGAGCCTGGAAACATGAACCGGTTTCTACCAGCCTCCAGCTCCTGCTCATAAGAGCCTCACCTCTTCAATGTCTATACTCACAAAAATCTGTCAGCTTACCTTCCCCTACACACACTTATGAGTCATATAGATATTTTACTGAATGTATTTATTCAGTGCCTACTTTTAGGGTTTTGAAAAAAGGTATGGTAAAAATATGGAACTTGCAAAAAAGAAAGTGTCCATTTTCATAAAAATTAATACGTCATCTCTTCAGGTGCTTAAGGTAAGGAAGCTGATAACCAAACCTAAAAATTAGATATAATGCCAGCCTATTAAAGCACTTAAATACAGGAGATGGAGGAAGGACAGAAGGGTAAAGCATTTGATCAGTAAGTATAAAGTACTAGTTCAATATGACGGTTCTAAAGCAGTAAACAAATGTCTGTAACGATCTGCTTTGCAGATGTTAGAAGTCTCTCCAATGTTTGTTCCTAGATGGTTTGATTAAATTATTATAATGAATTTTTAAATCTAAAAAATAATTATTCAACGGGCAAACGATAGCAGTCACAATGTGGCATGTAGCTGATCAATGCAGTATATTAGATATCAAACCAGGTGACAAACACAAGAAGCTAGCTATGGGTAAACTGGCACTCACGGAATTGGGTTTCCTTCCATACATCGGGTCCCAAAGCCAGGGTCTTTGGTGAGGGCAATCAAGAGTTTCTGGGTGCCCATGTCCTCTGGAGCATCATTACTGTGGGTACACGAGAGACAGCCATCTCAGTAACTCCAGGAATTAAAACCAGGAATCGGGAAACAGAACAGTTTTTCCAAATTAAACATTTTATGAAACACTTCCTATATAACAGACTCTTAAAACAGAAATGAATAAAACACAGAAACTACCCACAAGGCGCTCAGACTCTGGCTATATATTTGGCATCAGGATGGCACAGATCACTCAAAAGTGAAGCTTGTATTAATAGATTTTATGTTTGAAGTTGTGTATATGTGTGTATGCATGTATACATACACATATACACATTTACATATGTGTTTTAATTTGAAATAAAGCAACTCATTAAGGGCAAGTATTTCAAAAGTACTTTTACAATGATCAATTTGGCAAAGGCAAGCAGTATTTTCCAGAAAGGGCAGGCAAATTGTACTGACTGAGTGCATAGATAACTAGAAAACACAACAATAAGGTGTCTAGATCACAAACACATATTGTAGTCTATGGCTTTGGGCAATGAAGGGTCAGTAGCTGGGAAAGGAAAGAAAAAAAGTAAACCTGAACTGTGTGAGAAGAAAACAAAAGGTTAGAGAAAGAGACTGATATATTATACACACACACTCACAAACACACACACAAACACACACACACACACACACACACACACACACGACCGGATGCAGTAGCTCATGACTATAATCCCAGCACATAGGAAGACTGAAGCAGAAGAACTGCCTGAGCCCAGGAGGTAGAGGCTGCAGTGAGCTGTGAGTATGCCACTATACTCAAGCCTGGGTGACAGAGTGAGGCTCTGACCAAAAAAAAAAAAAAAAAAAAAAAAAATATATATATATATATATATAAAAAAAATAATTACTTAAGCTAATAACCAAACCTAAAAATTAGATATAATGCCAGCCTATTGAAGCACTTAAGTACAGGAGTTGGGGAAACGACAGAAGGGAAAAACATTTGATCAGTAAGTATAAAGTACTAGTTAAATTAAATATGATGGTTCTAAAGCAGTAAACAAATGTCTATAATGAACTGCTTTGCAGATGTTAGAAGACTTTCCAAATGTAATATAATTATAAATATTATATATAATTTATTCATAATAAATTATATGTAATATAATGCCAGCCATTTATACATACATATATATATATATGGTTCCCTTTTATATCACTGATATACTTCCCCCATATACAGGTTTACAAATCCTTCAGGACTGAAGAAAACTCCTGCCAAACAAGATCCAGAAATTCCTCTGTCCCTTTTCTTTCATGCAATGTATTATTATTGGGTAGAGGTATTTTTTCTAAAGAATAAACACTAGCCAATATCCCAAACTTGAAAGCATGAACATAATTACATTAATGGTACTTTGCAGAAATCAAGAATCTAGAGGTTCTGTGCTTGAACAGTGTATGACACCTGTGACTTAATTACAAAATTAAAACACAGCTCTAAAAATCCACATATTTTATAATTTAATCAAAGATTTTAGTAAGGGTAGATTATTTTATCTAAAATACATATGACTGTTTCTGACAACAGCATTATAAGGATGTGATGGATTGAAATGGACAACAGAAGACTGGCCTATTGTTTCAGGTACCACTGTTCTATGCATGCAGTATTAGCTTGTGTAGGGGCCTTAGCCACTGTCAATAAAATCCATTCCGCTGTGTAATTCTTGAGTACATTTCCTTGGCCCTCAGCACAGTAAACACCGTTGGTCTCTTTGAAGCCTCCCCTCTCCTGGGGCAAAGAAGACAAACACATACCTGACAAATGTGTACTGCTCACTGTACATCCAGGGCTGAAGTTCCAGGCTGGGGTACTTGCCAAAAGGTGGCACAATCAGGCTGAACACCAAGGCAATGCAGACAAACACAGCTGGCAGGACAATCTTTAACCAAGTAGCAGAGAAGAAAGGGATTAACAGAAAAATGGCGAGTGTTAGAAACAAGGCCAAAGGGTAAATCCCTACAAGCTCAGCCAGCCCCCCAGACCAATAGCACAGGAATGAGGAGTACAGGGCCCGTGGCTCAGCTCCATTAAGGCACTCCTAGTAGCAATGGAGTCTGAAAACTAAACCTCTTCCATAACAGCACAAGGCTGGGAACTTCGTAAAGTAAACAGTGATCACCTGTCAGGGTGACTCAGAACAGTGGGTCCTGCCCTTCTTCCCCCTAAAGACTGAGAAAGACCACCCTGGGTCATGAGCCCAAAGTCCTAAATTTGAATCCTGGTTCTGTCTCCACTATAAGTACATCCATGTGAAGTTACTTCCCTCTAGTCTCAGTTTTCTCATTTTAATCTGAGGACTGAGAAGAGATGACTCCACCAAATCCTTCACTCTGATAAAATCAACTCGACAGCAATGGCTCCAATCAGAGGCAACCACAGTTACTGTTTCTGTGATCGCCTCAGAAAGCATAAATATCCAAATACTTTCTGAACCTTCTCAAACTTTCTACTATATCTTCTCTGAAAATAATATCTTCTGCATACTTATAAGTAAACTCAAAGTTCTTTCCATTTATTGCTGATAAATTTATCCTTAATAAATTTAAAGAGTCAAATGTTATACCTGATTCTAATGTCATACCTGATTCTAATGTTCTGGGATTTTGATACAGAAAATTATCACCGAGTGAATAATTCTGTGAAAAGTGCTATAATGAGAATTATCTCTATTTTGTCATTATTTATGATGATATTATCACTATCAACAAAAATAAGGTAACAGAATCAGAGAGACTAACTAATTTACCTAAGACCATACAGTGCCAATAAGTACCAGTATCAGAATTCAACTCCAGGTCTATATGCTCCAAACTCCTGATCTTAGCATTATCCACACAATCTGTCGAGAAGACTCTCTGTAGACTCTTTCTCTACATTTCTTGATTTTATAGAGTGAAATAAATCTAACCCTTCTAACCAAGCACGTCAGCATATAAACACTAATATGTAGGCAACAGCATAATGAGACTTGTCTGTTGGCCAATTATATTCTGATTTTTCTGGCCATCTTTTCTGTCAACTTGAATTAAACATCAACTTAGAAACAAAGCATGTTTCTAATAAGTTCATACATGTAGTACATCTGGGTATAACATCTTTCATGTTATGACAGTTGAATATGCCCAACTAGTGTTTCTATATTTTGTTCTTGTTACTAAAATAAAAGTAAAGCCGGGCTCAGTGGCTCAGCCTGTAATCCCGCACCTTTGGGAGGCTGAGGTGAGTG